AAGCAGTTTACTCTCCATGGCCTGTGTGAGAAACAAAGTAAAATCCATGCTATGAATACAACTCCTCACAGGGAATTCTGACGAATAAAAACAGCTCTTGTCTGCCAAACGGGAGGATCACAAGCCAAGTCTGAGCTACACAGAGTAGAGGCCCTGTCTTTAAAAAAAAAGAACTGGAAAGATGCTCAGCAGTTAAGAGCACTGGCTGCTCTTGCAGAGGACATGGGTTCAGTTTCCAGCACCCACACAATGGCTAAGAACCGGACATAACTCTAGTTCCAATGGATTCAATGCCCTCTTCTGACCTCCGCAGGCATTGTGCATGGATGCACTTAAGCACATACAGGCAATACTCATACACATAAAAATATTCAAAACAAAAATGAAAACCTTTGTGGTGGGGGGGGAAAGAGGGAATAGATAGATAGATATATGAACACACACACACACACACACATATATATATATATATACATATATACATAACTCTAGTTCCAATGGATTCAATGCCCTCTTCTGACCTCCGCAGGCATTGTGCATGGATGCACTTAAGCACATACAGGCAATACTCATACACATAAAAATATTCAAAACAAAAATGAAAACCTTTGTGGTGGGGGGGGAAAGAGGGAATAGATAGATAGATATATGAACACACACACACACACACACATATATATATATATATACATATATATATATATTAGCCGGACGTGGTGGCGCACGCCTTTAATCCCAGCACCCGGGAGGCAGAGGTGGGCTGATCTCTGTGAGTTCAAGGCCAGCCTGGTCTACAAAGCGAGTTCCAGGCCAGCTGGGGCTACAGGGGCACCCAGTCTAAAAAGACAAAAAAAAAAGGAATTTGTTAAGAACACCCCCCAACCTACCACCAAGGAGAGGGTAGGGTAAGGAAGCTGATAGAGCACAAACAGATTTTTTGAGCAAGGGGTCAAATGTGTGTGCTTGTGTTGGACCGCAGGGGGTGTGGGATCACAGAGCCCTGATGAGGCAGCAGTCAGAGGCCTTGGAACTGAAAGGGCCATAAAAGCGGGGGCGAGGCGAGGGGAGGAATAGAGACAACAGGAACAGCTTGCAAGAACAGCTCCAAGGAATACAGAGGGAAGGACAACGAAGGAAGCAGGTTCTTATAACTATGGTAGGCAGAAGGCTGTGGGGTTTGGGTATCAGGTGACTGTCAAGGGCTTCTAGGCAGACTGGGAGCCTTCAGCATTTAGATGAGGCAGAGGCCAGGGGAATGGTTTGCACAAAAAGCCCAGAAACCAAAACCTCCACTTTCAGCCCATCCTTTGGGTCACTTTCTTCTTCTCTCAAAACAAAGGAGCTGGAATGGATTACTAATCCCATCTACTCCATACACTGTCCTGCTCTAAAATTCCTGTTTCCATGATATTAAATTCTTGTGTTCCATGATATTACAGCATCCACGACAATGGATCATTCTTCCAGAGAAAAACATCTAAGAGGGGCAGTGGCTCTGAGGAAACCCTGAATCTAGCCACATTAGGTCTCAAAGCATTCCTCAAGCACCCAGGGAGTCTGGGCGTTCTTGGCCTTAAGTAACAGACACGATCAAATACAAAAACGAGAAACAGTGCTGGATGTGGTGGCACACACCTTTAGTCCCAGCACTTGGGAGGCAGAGGCAGGGAGATCTTTGTAAGTTCCAGGCCAGCCTGGTCTACATAGAGAGTTCCAGGCCAGCTGGGGCTATAGGGAGACCCTGTCTCAAAAACAACAACAACAGCAACAAAACCAAACAAGAAACAACAAAACAGCATGCAAATCAAACACCTGTTATACCCTCA